ATTTTTTTTTAATTCAGCTTTTAGACCTGTGGATACTAAAAAAGTAGCTCTGAAATGTCTTTCTATTTACACTGGGAAGTGTGTGAAATTTGTGAATTCACTTTCAGCATAATAATGATGCCATTTTATGAGGACTATTCCGGAGGAATTGTGCTGCTGCCTGGTCTTTCTAACACTTTTCATATTTTACTACTTCCTCTGAAATAGGACTGCCAGACCCGTTATCCTCTCAAATCTTAGCCCCCCCACAGCTGAGATATCTTCTGGAACTTCAGCTACTGCCTGTGAGAGCCCAGCCAGCCCTCTCGTGCTTCTGCACTTCCTACGAGTCTCTATGCAATCTCCACTTTCCATCCTTGGTTATAAGGGTTCTCTCCAGCTAGTCTTCAGGTGATTATTCAGGATGGTTTTTCTATATAGTTATAATTCCAGTTTGGTCCTGGGCGGGAGTGTGTCAGTGTAGCTTCCAGTTAATCACCGCCATTTTGGAAAAAACTTATTTGAGACCTTGAACCACTTAATTTTCTTGATGTGGAAGCCTAGAGAAAGTGAAAGCTATTTCTAAAAGTTGAAGTAAAATTACATTTCAAGGGTCTGAATACACTTATCAAAAATCAGTTTACCTCAAGATGGCAATATGTGCTAATCTTTGATCAGTAGTTGCTAATAGAAATTTATGTAGCATCTTTTCTGCATCTTAGCTTTTGTAGGACATCAGAATTGACCTTGGTTAATGAGGATTTACTTGAAAAACTTTGCTGGCTAGAAGGCTTTCTATAAAATACCTGGAAATAGGTGAGGATCATGGAACACAATAACAGCAATCTAAATTGGCTGTTCCCTCAGATTCATCTTAATCTTATATTTTTCTATCTCTACCCTCCAAGTTCAGGAGACATAAGAGACAGGGCTTAGCCCTGGTCAGGTAGCTCAGCTGGTTAGAGCACCATCCAGCTATGCCAAGGTTGCAGGTTCAATACCTGGTCAGGGCACACACAAGAATCAACCAATGAATGCATAAATAAGTAGAGCAACAAGTCCATGTTTCTCTCCCTCTCCCTCCCTAAAATCAATCCATAAATAAAGAGACAGGGCTTGTTTTTAGCTACTAAAGTATGGAAAGTAATAGCAAAAGTTTTAGAATTAGACCTGATTTTTAATCCAGGTTCTACCACTTACTAACTGTATTTTTAAAGCAGCAGGGAGAGAGAAACATTGATTTGTTGTTCCTCTTATTTCTGCATTCATTGGTTGACCCCTGTATGTACCCTGACTGGGAATCATACCTGCAACCTTTGTATATTGGGTCAGTGCTCTAACTGAGCCACCTGTCCAAGGCTCCATGTTTTCTTTCTTTTTTAATATATTTGTATTGCTTTCAGAGAGGAAGGGAGAGAGTGAAAGAGAAACATCAGTGATGAGAGAATCATTGATCAGCTGCTCCTGTACATCCCCTACTGGCGATCGAGCCTGCAACCCAGGCATGTGCCCTGACTGGGAATTGAACCGTGACCTCCTGGTTCATAGGTTGGCATTCAACCACTGAGCCATGCCAGCTGGGCTCCATGTTTTCTAAAAGGCCTAGAGAACATATAGCAGGTACTCCCACCGCTATTTAATTATTATTATTTAAATCTTCACCGAGGATATTTTCTTCATTGATGTTTTTGGAGAGAGTGGAGGCGGGGGGATGGAGGAGTGTGGAGAGAGAGAGAAACATTGGTGTCTGATTGGTTGCCTCCTGCACAAAAGCCCCACTGAACTGGTGATGGAGCCTGCAACTGAGGTATGTGTCCTTAACCAGGAATTGAATTCACAGGCCTTTGGTTTGCGGACAGATGCTCTAACCACTGAACAACCAGCCAGGGCTCTGCTGCTATTTTAAATCCAGCACCATATGCTCTGGCTCAGTTGGTTGGGCATTTTTCTGTGAACCAGAAAGGTTGCCAGTTCCATTCTGGGTCAGGGAACATGCTGGGGTTTTGGGCTCAATCCCCTATAGGGCACGTGCAGGAGATAGCGCACTGAAGTTTCATTCTCACATCAATGGTTTTCTCTCTCCCTCTACCTTCTGCTCTCTATAAAAATCAATTTTTAAAAAAATTTCAAAAATATTCAGTGCCATACAACTCCTTGCAGCATTTGCTGCCAGGACCCTTCTGCCAATAATTCTCCCACCATGGAGGACATGAACTGTACAGCAACACAGAGGAGTTCGCTGAGGAATTCAAGATCAAGGCCAGCAAAAATCAGGACAATAATAAAATGTTTATCAGAGGTTTGAGCTGGGGTACAAGCTAGAAAGATCTGACTGTTTGTCTCAATTTGGGTTAAGTTTGAGACTGCACAGTGGAAACATCTAGTTACTAGAAGACCAAGAGTATTTGGATTTGTGCTTTTCAAAGATGCTGCTCATGTTGATAGTTTTGGAACTGAAAGAACACAAACTAGATGGCAACTGATAGACCCCCCTGCCAAAGGACCAAAGTTTTAAAAGGGAAGAAACCCCCCATAAAAAGGTTTTGGGGGGAAGGTTGAGCCCAAATACTTCTGAAGAACAAATTTAAGAATATTTTGGAGCCTTTGGAGAGGTTGAAAAGGTTGAACTTCCCATGGATACAAACAAATGAAAGATGAGGATTTTGTTTTATCACATACACAGATGATGAGCCAGTAAAGAAATTGTTTGAAAGCATATATTACCAAACTGGTTCTGGGAAGTGTGAAATCAAAGTTGCACAACCAAAAGAGATGCATAGGCAGGAACAGAAACAATCAAAAAGGAGGAAAAGTTGCTGTAGCTGGTGGGTGAAGTGGTACTAGGGCCATGGCCCAGGCCAACAAAACCCTCATGACAAGGCATCTCTGGGGATGACAATCACCCCAACAATTACCAGCCATACTGAAGGAAGACATTGGAGAAAACAGGAAGAGAATGCTAGTAAACGTTTCTGTTGATCTAAGATGATTATTTTGTAAGACTTTCTTGAGTAGAAGACACAAGTGTCTAACTGTATATTGCCACCAATTAGTTTTCTTTGTTTTTCCTTTATCTTTTGCTATCTGTGGATTTGTGGATGACTCAATGTGGATTTGTGTTTATACAAGTTTTTATTTGTATGATTTCATGTTAAACCTCAAATACTTATTTATGTGAAAAAAAAAAAAGAATGGTAACTAAAATGGACTGAAGCAAATCAAATACAGTTGTTCCTCAGTATCTGTGTGGGCATTGGTCCCATATAGTTGTTATACTGAATTGTTTAGGGAATCTACACTAATAAAAGAGAAAAATGGTAATTGGCGTACTACGCTACCCTTTTCATTGGCTAATCAGGGCTATGTGCAAATTAACTGCCAACAAAAATGGCGGTTAATTTGCATATGTAGGCACAATGCAGGGAGGCTAAAGGGAAAGCAGGAAGAAGCCCCCTGCCACTGACAGTGATCGGAAACCTAGGGGGGAGCTAAGAGCCCTGGGGGCCGCCTTTGCCCTGCCACCCCGCCATGATCTG